GGTGACTGCAGAACCCCTAGTGATGATGACTCTTAGGCAACATAATGCTGAATTTGCAGAGCTGTTATTTCCAGAAAAAGAAAAAAGGGAAAAAGAGCAAATACTATCTGTCTCTGCTAAAATGTGATAAATGGGACATGTCTAGTGTCCATTTCTAACATGTCATTTTCCAAATTAAACTTGGCATTGTTCCATTTCCTTGGGTTTTCTTGTGAAATTATTTTATAAAAGTATATCTATTTGTCTTTCAAATGATCCAGTAAAAAGCATATTTCATACATAATGGAGATGAAAACATCCTGTAATGTGCAAAAGTACTAGACAAATAGAATGACAAAAACCAGCTCATAAATAAACCAGCTGGCAAAATAGCATATCAAAGAGATAAATTAGTTGAGCTAGCATTTGATGAAAGATATACCCTTTTCAGAAAAATAATGTTTCTTTAGCCATTTATCTGCATCACTGGTAGATTAAGAACTAACAATTCTTGACATGAAAGAAATACAGAAGCTCTCTCACATAAACACATTGCAAATAGCCTGACTATCTTCTGTTATACAGAATACTCTTCCATTTAGTTATTTTTCACTTGTACCTCTTCTCTTTATAGCTCCCAGACACCTTTACCTTGCTCCATTTATTCAGCAGCTTTTGCTTTTTATTTTATATTCTTCATTCTTGCTCTTCCCTGACATTTACAACCATTTACCACCACCAAAACAATCTGCTCCCCCATCAGAAACAACCTACAGTTGCTATAAAATCTAGTCTACAGCTACTGTGTTAACTAAATGCAAATTCTTTTTTAATATATATTTTCATTGAACATTTTTAACAATTATGAACTCTTTGTATGCGTTTGGCTTTTACTGCATTATCTGAATGTTCGATGTCATTCACCTTTGTGTGAGGCAGTTCCTCAGTGTCCTATTAGTGCTGGCCACATTCCTGCACTGCTTTACTCTTAATACCAACAGGTATCTTGGGATACCTGTTTTGTATTTATAAATTTAAATTTCTAAATTTAAATTTATATTTTAAATTTATAAATTTAAAAAAGTTTTTAAAAAAGGGAAAAAAATGAACGCAAACAAACCACATTAAAATGTTGTATTTCATCTTTGGAGTGTAAAATATTGTAACATTACTGCAACTTATTATCCAAAATCAAATCATTACAAACCCAAGAAAATCAAAGTAGTAATAATTTTAAAAATGGACCTAGAATAGTACTTGATACCCCCTTCACCAATAATAACATCCAACCCTTCCAAATAAAGAAAGCCTATTGTTTATATGACACAAGGACATGTAGAGCTGGCTGAGGTACTGCAAATCCTCACAGCTGTTAGGCCAGGCTTCTCCCTAAGCCAGACCTGGGCTCCTCAAGGCCATTCCTTCCTGTGCTTCTGCCTTATGCAGCCCACAAAGTCAAGGCAGTGCCTTAGCACAGCACTAATTTAGGCAGTATTGATTTTCAGAGGTTCCACTGATGGGCAGTAGAAAATAATAAGAATAAAAGGATCATCAATTTGCTCTTGTACTACTTGTACTACTCAGTTTTATTTCCAACTTGACACAGTTTAGAGGAGGGATTACAAAATATTTATAATTCTACAGATGTGTAACTATTCAAAAAACTACATTAAAAAATATTTACAAAGCTTTTACCTTTTACAATATCCTTCAATGTTTGCCTTTCTAAGGGTGTCCCATTTCTGTTTCAATTTGTGAGCCAATGGAAATTCATATTTTTCTTGCATTGCTAGGAATTTAGAAAAGAATAGGTAAAATAAATTATTAGTCTTATATTTTATATTCATTAAAGTGTACTTCTTGCTTAATCTGTTCTCTGCTTCAGACTGATCAGGATTGTGTTGCAGTGCGCAGATATTGGCTACTTCTGATTTTCATCACATTCACAAAATAAATTGTGAAAACAGTGGCTGTGTTGACTGCACTTTCCTGTGACCATGCTGCAAGTTCTGCACTTGTCCCTCTATTTCCTTGCAGGCAATGAAAGAGTAGAGGTAGGAATATTCAACAATCAGCTGAAATTGGAGTGGTCCATGAGGAGACCTGTGGTGAAATTATTAATCAGTAAGTATCACTATTATTTCCAATAGGATACCAGTCTATTTTTCTGTCAGTTTTACCTGCATTATCTTCAGATGTCTGGATTCTAATGAAAGAGAAATAGACAACAAAGCTAGGTAGCATATCCATTTTGCTGTTGATGTTTATGCCAAGACAAACCATGAACTTTTTAACAAGAAAACTAAATAGGTGTTTCATGAGACTAGAACTGAAATGCACAAAATTCTTTCAATCCCCTTAAAAAATCTATTTAAAAGATAGCTGTGAGATCCATATGTAGAATCAGCTCTCTGAAAATCACAGAGATAGCATTCCTACTGATGTAATGTGCATTGGTGAAATATTTCAGTTCTCTGCAAAGAGCACCATGTTTCTTTTTGGTGCCAAATGAAGTTGCTCCAACTCCCTGTTCATCTATTACTCTCCCTGGTTAAGGTCCTACTTCTCTCTGTGGCATGGTGCAGTGGATCAGACCTAAGAATTGATCCAGGCTGAAAGAAACTTAAAAAAACAACAATGGACATTTCAAGATAGAGAGAAAAGGTGACTCAGGCAGTCATTGTGACAGCAGCAAAGAGTCTGGATTTCAAGTTTATGTTCTTCCATAAATGATGAAAATCATAACAAATTCTGACTTGTGAGGCTTTCTTATGGATTGCTTTTGGTCTCAGCATTTGAAATTAAAGGGGTTCACATCAGGCATTGATCCCAATTTAAGGAGAACTGTTTTTAGTCAAAGTGAGCATGTTTGTGGCACAGGTTGGTCTGGCCTCAGGTACCAAACATGGTACCCCAGCCCTGCTGCAGTAAGAGCACAACACAAGGCCCTTGTCATTCCCTTCCTCTTCCAGCCCCCCAGCATCAGAGAGCTGCATCAAGAGCCAAATCTGATCAGTCATCTTTGTATCACCAAGGTCTAGGCCCTCTGGCTCTTACGCCTCTGATACACTTCATTACGAGAGAAGTGGTATAAATAGTAATAAATTCTTAGTTGAACATTTCAAAGCATTTATGGCTTACTTGAAAACTAATAAAAAATAACTGTCCAAATCCAGGCCCTAAGAGTTCATGGAAATTCTCAGTTTGTTTACAGGTAACTCAATCCAGTGGTTTCCATTATTTAAAGCTTTCATTTGAAATTTCTTCCTGTTTGTACTAAGACTTCTACCTTCAAAAATATTTTTGAGGTGCTGCTAATATCCTAAGAGCCATTTCTGGCTTTTTGAGTATACAAGGCAAAACTGGAATTTCTTCCAAAGGTTTCAGCAGAGTAATTCTCAGTAGTTTAACACTTGCCTGTTCATTTGATTATCTTACTATTCTAACAAATATTTTTAATTGACAAGAGAAAACATATCTTTAATGAATGAGCATAAGAATAGTGTATGTAATGGGTGAGATCTTAAAGCAGAATTAATTATGGGAAGAGAAACTCCTATTTAAAAACCCAGAACAGACACATAATACATATGCAACAAACAAAGGGAGGGAAACAGAACTCAAAACAGGAAGGGGGTGTTTGATATTTCAACAACGGAAACGTAGAATGAAAACTGAAAGCTTGGACAAGCAATAGTCATAATTGAAGATTCTGTATTTTTTCCACTAGACTGCAATTTAGATAGCTGTGTAAAGTCCTGTGAAGTAAATTAAAGAACTAAATGCTTAAAGGCAAAACCGTTGCAAATAAATATGAGTCATCTCTTATGAAGTCAGAGATAAGAGTTATTTGTTTTTTTAAAAAACACAGGAAATCAATACACAGGTTCTCTCCATGCCATGAATAAGACTGAGCATTTGACCTGTGTGGACCTATCACCAATCCTGACACACACATCCTCCAATTCTTCAATCACAATGAGTTATGTGAAATTAACTTAGGTTTTTCATGTTTATTTAGCACACTGAGTAGATTCTCACAAGAGAAAAAAAAAGGACCTAAACCATAAAAATGGCTAAATACATTACGTAACTTCAGAATATATGTGTAGCTATGTATACACATGCAATTTAAACTTTACTGCAGTATAATCCCATGTAACACTTCTTTGTAAAATACTGATCAGCAATAAGACATACGATGTTCAAACACCCATAGTAACAAAGTTTATGGCTTACGCGTTTATTGTATTTAACATTATTAACCCTCAGCCGGCGGGCCCGGCGCTTCCGGCAAAGGAGGCGCTCACACCTAGAGCACAAACCCAGCATGACTCAGGGTATCTGCACGTAATCCCGTGGAAGCGAGCGGGGAAACAAGCACGTCGCTCCCGCTTGTTGCCCCCTGGCAATTTCTGATTTACTTAGCCAAATAAATGTAAAATAGTATGTCATACCATGAATGATTGATGTAAAGAACGTGCTATTACTAAGCAGAATTACAAAACAACCTGCGGGCAGCACCTCGACGGGGCGGCCTCCGGGGAGGTTCCCGTGTCCCGCAGGGCTCCGGCACCGCCCAGGGTACAACCGGGGCTTTCTGCCGCGTCCCTTCCCTAGGTCAGTGCGGGGACAGCCGGGGCCGGACGCTGCGGGGGAGCCCAGCCAACCGCCCTTATCGGCGGGGCCCGGCCGGCACCGCCCCGCTATCGCACGCCCGGAGCGCGGCGCCGGGAGCGCGGCGGGCCCGCGGCCGCCCCGGCTGTTACCGGCCGCCGCCGCCCCCGCCCCCGGCAGCGCGGGGCCGCCCCGCCCGCACCGCGCCGCGTCCCGCCCCGGCCAATGGGCGGCGCCGGCGGGGGCCCCGCGGCGGCGGTTGGTCAGCGCCGCGGCCGTTGCGCCCCGCGGCCGCCCGGCACCGCCGCCTGCGCGCGGCTCCGCCTCCCTCCGCGGTCGCTGGCGCTGGGAGGCCCCACAGACGCCATTTCCTCGGCGCCCCCGCGGCGGCGCGGCTGCATCAGCGCTGACGTGAGGACGACGTGCGGCTCCGCCCGGCCCGGTCCCCCCCACCCCCTGTGACGGGGGCAGCACGTACAGGGCGGCGGGTGAGTGCGGGAGGGGGCGGGGACACGTGTGCGCGCAGCCCGACCCCCCGCGGGCCGGGAGCGGGGCAGCGCGGAGGGCAGCGGGCGGCGCGGCGGGCACGGCAGGCACGGGCAGGGACGGGCAGGGCAGGCGGGGGGCGCTGTGCCGCGCTTGGCTCAGCCCCGCCGCGGGAGCGCGCGGGAGGCGGCGGGGGCGCGTCCCCGTCGGCAGCCGGGAGCGCGCTGCGCTCAGGGACGGCCGCGCGGAGCCCTCTCGGCGCTGTGGGGCGGCCCCGAGGCGGCTGCGCATCCCGGGAATTCCGGAGGGGCTGCGCGGAGCGCCGGCTTCGCTGCAGCCCGGGAGCCGCGGCGTTCGCCGGGCTCCGGCAGTCGGTGGCTCCAGCGCTTGCTCGGGCCACCGGCTCGGCTCGCCCGACGATGCGGCTCGGAGCGGGGCAGCGCCTGCCCGCTGCGGGCAGAGCACGCCGGACGGCCCCTCCTGGGGTCTCGCCCCGTCCGAGGGGAGCGGGGATGCCCGCTGGCGTTTGCCCCTCAGTCCGTTACTCCCGGTTATAACCTTGCCCACAGAGCTTTCGGAGCTGGGTCAGAACAGGTGGGGAGGGATCACAGTGGGTTTTGTTAGTCCGAAGTCTTGCTTGAAACTTTTGTCTGCGTCCCCTACTGCTGTGATGGCATCAGTTTTAGGGCTGAGAGCAACCGCGTGAGGGCGATTCCACGGGGACTGATGCTGGACTGATCTCTGGCCTGCCCGGGGCTGGTTCGGCCCCTCTGGAGGGGGCCGTGTGTCCGCTGGCAGCCGGCTCTGCACTGCACTGTGTCCGCTCGCAGCCGGCTCTGCACTGCACTGTGTCCGCTGGCAGCCGGCTCTGCACTGCACTGTGGCCGCTCGCAGCCGGCTCTGCACTGCACTGTGGCCGCTCGCAGCCGGCTCTGCACTGCACTGTGGCCGCTGGCAGCCGGCTCTGCACTGCACTGTGGCCGCTCGCAGCCGGCTCTGCACTGCACTGTGTCCGCTGGCAGCCGGCTCTGCACTGCACTGTGGCCGCTCGCAGCCGGCTCTGCACTGCACTGTGGCCGCTCGCAGCCGGCTCTGCACTGCACTGTGGCCGCTCGCAGCCGGCTCTGCACTGCACTGTGGCCGCTGGCAGCCGGCTCTGCACTGCACTGTGGCCGCTCGCAGCCGGCTCTGCACTGCACTGTCAGCATGGATGGGCTGGCAGGTGCCGAGGGGCCAGGTAGCATTGCCTGTGCTCACAGTAATGGCACGTTGGGGTTTGAAGAGTGTGGGGTTTCGGGTTTAGCTGAGGTGTTCAGGGAAGAAAATAGGGAAGTAAGAATGTAGGAGACGCTAAAACCTTAGTGATGAAGCTTCTGGTGATACTGAAAACTGAAAGTTTGCACTTCAAAATTGGGTCTGTTTACTGTTGCACATTTTGCTTCACTGACTTCTGTGATCACCTTATCAGCTGGTGTCCTTCATGCCACCAGGGTGGTAAACAGTTATAACAGAGCTGATACAAAACAGTGTCTGAAGCAAGTGTGTTTTGAGAGTTTCCACACTCACTGTGGGGTCATCAGTAAATGCAGAACAGGTGTTTGTAAATTCACATTCTTGCTTTCTAATAACTCCCCTGTGAATAAAAGCCTTCAAAGAGATTTGGAGCAAGGGCTGAAACATCATTTTTAGCCTCTTACGACTGATTTCCTTTGTATCAAACCACATTTGTAAGCAGAACCTGATGTATAAAGGATGGTTGAAATAAAAAAGTTGGTTTTAAAAATGCCTCTGGGTATTTATTTAGACAGTCACACACTTCAAGTTATGCAAAATACTTTAGCAATCTGCTTTTGCAGTATATTTTTTCAATAGACATTAAATATTATGTTGATATGCAGACAAACAGTAGTACTGGGAGGAGTTAAAGGATTTCTTGTGCTCTTTATTGCAAAGGAATGTGTCTTGCTAGGGGTGCTATCCTTCATCTCTTACCTATGGGCAAAAATATAAAGAATTCACACCTTTAGCTGTAAATTGCTTTTAATTTTCTAGGAAAAGCTTTCTGTTTTCCACTAGCTGATTCCAACTGTCAGATTTCTCCTATCAGGGGTGGTTCATCTGATCACAGTTGAAGAAGCTTTTGATGTGCAGCCCTTAATCAGTGTTTATCTGATTAGTAATCAGTATTCTTAATCAGTATTTATCAGTGCTACTGACCACTCACCTGCTGTCCATTAGTCTCAGTGACTGCAGTAAACATGTACTTACATATATTGAAATGTTGCAAGTTTGGTGAGAGTTAAACTTCCTGCCAGATGCTGAAGATCTCTTTCCAGTATTGTAGGAAGAAGCAGGTATCTTTGCTTCATTATGCAAAACCATTTTTGTCCCATTTTTATGTGTGTGCAGAGGTGTAACTTGTTTATTAATTTAAAAATCCAGACTAGTATTTAAAATTATTGTTCAGTCTTTGTAAGTAGCTAAGATAAAAAATATAAGGAAAAATTTATTAATACTGAGTGTAAGACTAAAAGGTGTATATAATGAGTCATACAATGAAGAAAAACATAATGTAATTTTAAACAGGACCCAAGACCACTTACTTTAAACTATTTGCTAACTTTTCCTTGAAAAACAGAAGGAAGGTTATGTAAACTTTTAAGTGTGATATGTACTCCTGCTATAGACTTTTATAAAGGATTTTAAGGGCTTGGCCGAAAATTCTGTTTTTCTTTCTTGGAAACTTCATAGCAATGAATATGTTGGAATTTGCTTGCAATGCAGACTGATTGAGTGTGATATGTGTGGAAACTTTTCTGAATTGGATTAGTAACAGTTTCATGCCACAGTCTGTATTGCTGATGTTTTAGAAAAAGCATAGTTATAATATTGCTCAGTATTTTTCCTTAGTATGTATTCAAAAGTTTGATGTATTCATGTTGATGTGATACATAGGAAATAAAACCCCTGTACAATTGAGGTTATAGAAGTGCTCTGAAGACAGTGACAGCCCAGTCTGAAATTCAGGAGTTCCTTGGTGTGCAGCGGCAGAGCTCAGTGTGGCTGTGCCACCGCTGACCCTGCAGGCTCAAATGTCTGCAGCTGACCTGCTCCTGGCAGCTCAGTGATCCCATGGTTGTGTCTGTCACTCCTGACCTTGGAACATGTCTGCACTGGGATACTCATGTGCTGGTTTGTCTGAAGTCATGGTTCTCACTGAAGTTTTATGCCAAGATAGCTTGTGTATCTTTTAAAATTACTCATATACTTCATTATTTTTGTTTTGTTTTTTTTTTAGGCTGTGAGTGGATCTTTATATTTGGATGTTGTTTTAAGTCAAGTCACTATTTGGTCACAGAGGTTGTCAAAAAGAAGCAGGTTTGAGCTTATCTAGGAAAAGTATTTTAATGTGTTTCAGAGTAGTGATTGCATTTTATGGCAGTCAGATTTTCAGACTTTACTCCACCCTGCTAAATATTTCAATTAAGCAATCATTTGTATTGAGAGTCAGAATATACACAATTATAGATGGAAAATCTATATAAATTCTGGAGTTTTCCAAGTATATCATAAATCTTAATATGTTTGTCACTCCACTGACATGTATCGTTCTTGCTGTTGTTTTTCTAATTAAAGATAAATAATCAAAAAATACACCCCTTTCTCTGAACTGCTTTTTGCAAAATATGAGGAATAACTTTGTTAGATTTCCTGCTGCACTGATGCTCTTTTTGTAGCTTTTTGCTAATGTAGTGCAGCACTGCAAATGAAAGGTCTTGGGGAGAAAAATCCTGATAAAGTAGAAGTAAATACATTTTTATACTGTTCTGCAATCAGTGAGAAATTAAGCTAAAAACCAGGAACTAAATTTTTTCCAAGATGAAAAATGACACTTTCTGTGTAAAATTTCTATGAAATGCATTCAGTGGGAATAAAAGTCCTTGGGTTTTTTGTTTTTGGTTTTTTGTGGTTTTTTTTCAACAATAGGTTTTCTGTGACAGATGGCTCTGGATACAAAAATACTTCAGGGCCTCCATAAAGTGAATTAATTCTGACTATATTCCCATCTTTAGGAAGAGATTACAATGAATATGTTGCCAGTACCTAGGCATTATTTATTCTTCCTTGGTGTGTGAGCTATTCTGAAGCTTATTCTTACATGAACCACATAAACCTTTCATATTTGAGACTTTATGGGTGGCCCTAGTTTACAAAGGAAGAACTTTTTTGCCCTGCTTTATTTTTGTTATTATATTGCACATGTATAAAACCAGAATATTATAATTAGGTAACATCTTATAGAAAATTATGGTGAAAAGTTTGATGAAAACATTTTCCCCAGAGCTGTTAGACTTTGGTAAATTTCAGTAGATATTTAATTAGATTGCATCTAAACAAAAAGGTAATTAGTGGTAACTAGCAAGAGAAAAATGTAGAAAAATTTTATTTGTCAAATAGCTCCCTATGACTCTAATCTGAATTGGTACTGGCATAGGGTATGTAACTTCTCTGAGCAGAAATACTTATGTTAACCCATAATATGTTAAATTGTTTTGCAGCTTCACTACCATTAGCTATAGTACTGTTAAATCTGATCAGTAGAGTACCATTTGAGGCATATGAGCTAGAAATATGCTTCTCTACATCATTTGACTGGTTATCTTTTCATATTTTCATGCTTTTATTTTGGGCAAAATTTTGATTTTTATAAAACTAATAAAAATTGTTCTCTCCAAAGACTGTGGAATGTTCTATAAAATAATGCCACAAAAAGAGTTTGGTTTACATTTAATTTGATTTAATGTAACAGAGACTAAATTCCAGAGCCTCAGAGTCAGGTGGGTAGCAGTCCTTGCCTGCCTCTTGCATCTCTCAGTCTAAGTCCTGAGAAGAAACCAGAGTAACTATCAAAAATAATTGAACTTTGGCCTCAGGCTTGTCATCCCCTAGTTACAGAAACTGAACCTGGGGATCCAAGATTTGCTGCCTCTTAAATCTCTCACCAATATCATGTCTTCCTTTTGAGGCTGTCAGTGTTGTGTAAGTAGGGTGTAGGTGGGAGCGTGCCTGCAGGGTGCCCTGCCTGCCTCTGCCTGACCCTGTCCTGTCTCTGTTCTGTTTGTAAACTGACCTGTTGCCATGGCAATGTTTGACATCACCTGTTCAATGTTGCACCTTCAGTGCAGGGTTTGGTAGGAGAGAAAGGGAGCCGAAGAGATCCAAGCTCTTGTTTTAAAACTCACACCTTCCGTTATGACTAAGTGTGCCAAGAAATATCGAAAAGGAGCTGTCAGGTAATTGCATTTTTATATAGCAGATATGTAGCAGATTTGGAAGTTTTCTCTACAAAGTTTAAACTCTTACTTTAAATTGAGGGTCAGCAAGTTCTTAGTTTTCAATAAAATCTATCCTACTTTTAAACCTATAAAGTGAGAATAATTGTTGTGGCTCCTGAGCCATGAGTAGTTTACAGACAACTCAAGTGCAGATGCCAGCAGGGAATAGGTTCACGAGGGCTGTAGCAGCCCATGAGGCTGAAGGGACCTTCTGTGGGCAGCACTGCCAGCCCTGCATGGGACCCTGGCACTCTGCTTGTCCCTCCCTGAGAGCCATCTCCAGAACTGCCTCTCCCTGCAACTTTCCAAAATACTTGTTTTAGAGCTCCTGGCTGTATGAGTGAATGTTTTAATACGGGGGAATGAAGAAAGGATTTAATTTTGACAGAAATATATTTATTTTCTGTCTGCTCCAAATATAGTTTGGAATTATTTTCCCTAGCTGCCTGATATACCTTCCTGTATTGAGTTATTTAAATATGTATGTACTTACTTTTAGACTGATGACCATGGAAATGGTTGAACAGGATGACAATGCAGTGGATTCTCTGACAGAGAGAAGTGCTGGTCACCTTCAGAATCAGCCAGGCCAGAATCAGATTCCCTCAGGATCTGAGGTAAGTTGAAGTGTAGAAAGTAGAGAAGAATCAATGAAGTGATATTCAGAGCTGCTATGATTTTTAAACACTCAATTTTTGTGGTATTCTCATGTTTTATGTGTCTTGGTATTAAATAGGAAAAATATAGCAAAGGTATACTGGAAAATATGCCTTCAGTAGTTAACAAAGGACTAATATAACATCAGGTCTGTTAAAAGGTAACATTTTTAGGAGCCCTTTCAGACAACAGTGATCAGTAGACAAAGAGGTTTTTTTCTTTCACTTTCACAAGGCGATTGTTATAGAGATGGGATACAGTCTTAAGGAATTGAGGTGGCTACAAGATCAAACATATCTAAACCATTTGTGTATCTTGAAGATGTGTTGTACAACAAAAATAGAAACATGAATAAAAATAGCCATGGTTCTCTCCTAGTTCCAGTTTTTGTGCAGAATGTATTTAATCTAATTGCAAGTACGTTTTTAATGTGTGCTTGTTTTGTTTCATCCCTGTGTATCCAATGACAGTGTTTGGACTTCTAAAAATATACATTACATGTTTTCTATGGATTATTGTTTGGTTGTTAATGCATAGAGGATTATATAGTAACAATTCTCAAACATATACTGTAATGCTCAACACTTGAGAGAAATAGTGTTCCTGGCAGTACTTAGATTTATAGCTTCAGAAAAGTGTGTGGACCATTTAAAAGGATTTTCAGAAGCCCTTTGTTAAATAAAAGAACTGATTTTAAAAAACGTCTTACCAAATTTTTTCATCATTGGAAGTTATTTACTAAGATTTGATGCCACGTATTTGTTATGTTAGATACTTGATTTACATTATAGATACATTTTTAAAACTGAAAGCAGCTGCTTTTTTTGTCAGATCTTCTGGCACAAAGTAGACTGCAAAATGTTTATCAACCTTTTTTTGTTGGTTTTGATGCATGCAGCATTGGGAATATTGCTTGTTCAGCTTTTTCTTTTTTTTTCTTTAAGCATTTTATTTGATTTGCTCTGTTGATGTCATCCCCTCATTTCTTCTTTAGTAGTTCTGTTCAAATTTTCATAGGATGGTTGATATGTAAAATTTATTGGCTTGTGCAGCAGTCTCTGGAGAAGACAGCTGTGAATTCTGTCACTTGGGATTTTTAGTGTTGATCCAAAGGTGTCCCTATTGCTGTAGGAGAGTTTTTGCACTCCTGTATTGTGCAGTGTATAACACTTTTATGTTTGTCTGCATTTAATGCTTGAGTACTGTGTGTGAAGGTTCAGCTGTAGGGGGTATGGGTCTCATACCTTACAGTTAAAATGAGTAACTCTGAAATACTGATGAATCTCCTTCAATTAACACTGAACCAAAACTTGCACCTCAGTTTGAAGGCTGGGTGTAACAGTCTGGAATGGAGTCCCTGGTTTTGGTCGGATGGCTGAGAGAGCTGTCCTGGAGCTGGCAGAGCTGCTTAGCACATGTGGCTGGAGCTGCTGTCCCTGTCAGGCTCCCAGACAGGCAGGGTTGGTGCTGCTGTCCCTGTCAGGCTCCCAGATAGGCAGGGTTGGTGCTGCTGTCCCTCTGCTGGGGGCCCAGACAAGTGGGGTTGGTGCTGCTGTCCCTCTCAGGCTCCCAGACAGGCAGGGTTGGTGCTGTTGTCCCTTTCTGAGGGTTTGGGGCTCTCAGACAGGCAGGGTTGGTGCTGCCGTCCCTCTCTGAGGGTTTGGGCTCTCAGACAGGCAGGGTTGGTGCTGCCATCCCTCTCTTGAGGGTTTGGGCTCTCAGACAGGCAGGGTTGGTGCTGCCATCCCTCTCTGAGGGTTTGGGCTCTCAGACAGGCAGGGTTGGTGCTGCCATCCCTCTCTTGAGGGTTTGGGCTCTCAGACAGGCAGGGTTGGTGCTGCTGTCCCTCTCTGAGGGTTTGGGCTCTCAGACAGGCAGGGTTGGTGCTGCTGTCCCTCTCTGAGGGTTTGGGCTCTCAGACAGGCAGGGTTGGTGCTGCTGTCCCTCTCTGAGGGTTTGGGCTCTCAGACAGGCAGGGTTGGTGCTGCCATCCCTCTCCGAGGGCTCCGGGCCTGTGCCCATCTCCTCAGCCGCTGACTCCCTGGGCCTGCAGCCCTCACACACCCTCAGTTCTTCAGGCTGCTGTGCCCCAGCATTTGTTGTGGTGAAGCTGCCCAGACAGAGCACTTGCTGCCTCCAGGCCTTTTGAGACACTCCTTTGGTTTAAGATGAGTAGGATTTTCTTAGCCTGTGTTCCTACCTGGCTGGCTTGGAAGGTGAGGCGCTTTGTCATGGAGAGCTGGGCCTGGGTGTTGAGGGGTAAAGCCCACTGGAGGCCCCTGTATGGGACATCTGACTGGATTTGTGGTGGTCCAGATGGGAAGTTCGTGTGTTTCTGAGGAATTCATGGCTGTGCCTGTGTATTTTGACTATTACACAGGAGCACAGAACTCTTATCCCTCTTTATGCTGTGTAGGAGTGCAGTTAAGAGATGTCAGCTACTGCAGGTGACTGAAGCATCTTGTGCCAATTTCCAGAGTCATCCCTCCTACTAATTTTGTTGCAAATATGCAGAAATAGTGGAAAAGAATGACTTGATTCTTACTGAGGGCAAAAATGCCTGGTCACTGAAACTGAGGGCTCCTTTTCAAATATCTCCAAGGGAGTGGGGAGATGGCAGCTTTGTTTGTGTTTTTTCTAACAAAATATTTGCTCAACCTTGGTTTTGGTCAGTCAGAAGCAAACCATTTTAATACACTGTCTTTTAATTTGTGGTTTTCTGTGTATTATCAAAGAAATAATTGTAGAAGGGTCAAGCTTGGGAGGAACCTTTTAAGATTATCTAGTCTGACCTGCCTGTGCAAGCAGTGTCAGCCAGAACTGTGTCTGCCTGGGATGTAAATGTCTCCAAGGATGGAGTCTCTAGAACCTCTCTGGGCATCTGTCCCAGCAGGTGACTGCCCTTCCAGTAAAACAGGTGGAGTTTTTATGTCCAGATGGAATGTTGTAATGGTTTTTAATGTGCTTGATATTTAATTGAATTATGGCCTTGGCCAGGGAGTGACTAGTAAAATGCTGAGGGATACAACTTCATAGGAGGTGGACATCCTTTTTTTTCTTCTTCTTGGGGGGCAGCTGACTTATTTTCCCCTCCTCTATAGGCTTTTTAAAGAAATACCTGCCATTTAGTTTTAAAAGGATGGACCAAGTACTTCAGAAGATGATAATCTTTAGAGATTGTTTTGTGCTGAAGATTTTAATGTCTCCCCTGTTGGGAGAGAGAGGAGACATTAAGAATGTGTGGGCTGGAGCACTATGGTGTGATGGGATGACCTCCAATGCTACTATACATTATTTGTAGAGGAAAAAAGAGTGTTTGCAATTTTTTTTCACTTGTGTCATAGTTACTGCTGTATTCTCCTGCAATTTTTTGCTGCTGAAAGTAGAGTTACTTTTTGTACTAAAGCAAAAATGAGTGAATTTGAAACTAGCAAAGATGAGATGCACTTTTTGTCCATTAAGTGGTTGTTTTCAAAATAAAATGTTGTACTGTAGAATCAGTTTCTAGTTGCATTTCTTGCATCTGTCACTTTTAGCCAGTTGAATCATTGACATGGTAATATTTTTCTGATCCAGCTACCAGAATAAATAGGTAAGAAAGTAAAATTATTGGTGGCTGTCTTTAGAAACTGTTGAAGATGTGCCCAACACCTGTACAAAGCTTGATGTCTTTGAGGCAAGAGCAGAGGTGTGAGGTGGAAAATTTCTCAACCTGTTTTGAGATGAGCTCCATGGTTGTCTCACATGCCCAGATCATCTGTTGCTATATATAGAGCTGTACTTACAAGGAAGTAAACTTGTATTGGAATATTCTGATAGTGTTGATGGTAGTCAAACTTACATCTTGGAAGATTTAAATCTGCAGTGGTATTCAGAGATAAATTAGGTGTTCCTTTTTCAGGATTTCTAGAAGCCAGTCTGTGTTGCTGTGTGCTCAGCTACCCTAAATGTAACTATAACAATGTAAGATCAATGTACTTTAGCCTTTCTCAGGTTTGATAAAAACACTTTCAGTTGTGTTTTCTTTTTTCTTTAATCCTACATCTTGATGGGCTGCTCTTTGATTCACTTTTTGTTAACCTTGTCATGTTGTCTATCAGTAGAGCTGTCTGCTGACCTTGTCTGAGATCCCATCTGTTGGCCTCTTGGTGCTGGCCCTGAATCAGGCATATGTCAGGGTTTACAATGTGAGAACTGCTGTCAGTGAGCATTGGGAGAGTTTCAGGGAGGTTTTCAGAGCCTGGAGTGGGTAGCTATTGCAAGCTGGGACCGTTCAAATTTAGCACTTTGGGGGGTTGTCCTTATGGGCTTTTGATATCAAACAGTGTTAAATCTTACTCCCTGGAGATTGAGACCTTTGGGAGTTTGCTAGGCTGTTGTAAGCAAGGCTCTAAACCAGCCTGCCAAATGCAAATGCTGGCCATTTAGCAAAGTTGATTTTAGAGGATTATAAACATGCAGATGTTTCACCATTTCGTGCTTCCTTGAAGCATATGGTGACCAAATGTCTAGAGTCAGCCTAACCTTATTTTCCTTAAAAGTAGGTGCTGCTATTTTGGCAGTAGTTTTGGAATTGATCAAAACATCTGTCTCCAGCTTTTCCTCATAGAGGGTACTCGGTGCCCAAATGTGGCAGATCCTTTGTTCTTTTGTTAAATCCAGTGTGGATTTGCCTTGGCTTTTCCTTTTCCAGAATTGCTTTTCACTTCTAGAGTCCTTGTAGTACTTGGAGTCTGCAGCAGGGGCAGAAATCAGATGGGCCTGTGTCCTGAGTTCTGCATTTGGCAGTGTTGAGGGTATGAGGGGTCGAATGTGAAGGTGACCTCTCCAGTACTTGGCAGGGAAAGGATATCTGACATTGACAGGATATCCAGGATAACTGTTCAGATGGACCATGTATCTTGAAGTGAGAGAAATGGTGGGCAGCCTCTTTCTCTGCAAGAGTGTGTGCCTCAGTAGCAAGGTAGTACCTGGTCATTCTTGCTGGCTCCTTTTCTCTCCCCACATAGGAGAGGGAGCACTTACATTTCCAAATACCTGAAATGTGGGACCATACTGCTATTATGGGTTGCATGGTTGGTATTTATTGAAGCTATTGGATATGAGTATTGCATGCCTAGGAGCACAGAACCCATAGAATGTGTCAAGCTTCCCCTCAGCCTCTGTGTCCCTGACTTGCCTTTGTGGATTGTTTTCAGTTGCTGTGCCAGCCCTTGAAGTAATGATGTTAAAGGTAGCATTGCTCATCACTGATGTCAGAAAGAAATTTCTTTGCCAGGTCTGTTTCAGTCAGGATTTACGCATGATAGCATGAAAGTGTCCTAGTATGTCAGTTGACACAGGAATATTCAGCTTGAAAACTGTAAAGGGAAATCTGAATCAAAATTCTAATAATAATTTCTAATATTTATAAGAGAGATGCAGAATATGAGCCTTGAAAATTTTATAATACTGCCATCTCCTTTTCCCTTAGCACTTAAACCCCTTCATTTAATCTTTTGTCTGAATTTATGGAAACAAAACAATTTCTCCTTTAAACTTTAGTCCAAAAGAGTGTTAGCTGAATCAAGTTGTGTTTTTTTTTTTTTCCCTGTGGGGTTATACTGAATAAAGAGCTTTAAAATGAATGTAGTTTCTTAATCTCAAGTGCTGGATTATTTCCTGATTATGTGTGACGGACCCATTGTGTACCAAAAAGAAACTTTTAAACTGTTCACCTTTTACTGTTTTATGACTGTACTCAGAAAGTTCTTTCTGACCCACTGAGTATTGTATCAATGGCAATTCTCACAAAGAGAACACTAAATGGAAAGGTTTAGTGAAATTGCCTTTATAATGTTTTGAAAAGTTAGCATGCTTTTTAAACATTTAGACTGCTTGGTGATCACTGCTTGAAGTTTGGCTTTAGGATGTAAGCTTTGTAAGCTTCATATCTTTGAGACTTTCTGGAGCTTAATCTCAAATTTCTGTTTCTGAGAAATTTCTCGTAATATTAATATTTGTTGAATAGGTTGGGAAGAAGGTTTGTATGTCCTATTTCCCTGTTACTATTTCATGCCATTTAAGGAATAATTTAAGGAACTCATTTCAGGGTTAAAAATGCCCTCAATTGTTCTGTTTTCTGAAAAGTGGTTCAGTTTCCTACAACACTGAACAATTGCATAGTGAATGTTGACGAGATCCTGTCTTTGTTTCCTAGAAACATTATTTCTGCAAGGTAATTTGAGCCAACATCATGACTTTTTGATAGCAGTGCCTCTTAATAGTAGTTAAAATTGTTTACTTTGTTTAAGAAGGGAATTATTTCCTAGACAAAAAGTATCTTATGATCAGGAATGAAAACTGCTTTTATATTTGGATTGAAAAAAACACCTCAGTGTAAATATGTAAAAATTACAAAAGTTTCTTTAACTGTTTTTTTTTAATATGCAGCATTCTTCATGTTTTTCTTCTTACACTCATCTCATTTTATGTTTACTGCTCGTAGCAGTTACCTTTGGAGCTGTGAACAAAGCTAGGAAGGGAATAATAACAATTTTATATTTGAGTCTGATTTTATTGTTGAGTGTGCAGAATATAGAAATAAGACACTTCAGTGCAGTTTAATTGAAAACCACATTTCTTTTTATTATATAGTTTATGTTTGCCATTGTTTTCCTTTTCCGAGTTTAGAGATATTTCATCACATAAATTGAGATCAATCACAGTGTTTTCCCTTTGCATCACTGCTTGTTTCTGTTAATAGATTTAACAGTAAAAGCACAAATATTGAACTATTTCTTAGCCCATAGGTGTTAAGCTGTTTCTCAGCCCATTAGTCCTCAGCACTGAGGGTAGAGAGTCACAGGCTGGGGAAAGCTGTTCTAGGCTTAGAGAAGATTCAGCTGTTCTTTGTTTTTGTTGTTGTTTGAAGCACTGATACACTCCAGCTCTCTTTTTCTTGATACATAAAATTATATATATAACAGGAGTCCGTTAAACTGAATGAGTTGACAAATCCTTGTATGGCTTTATTTAATAGGACGATTTTTCACTGTCTGAAGAATTCTCATGTCTCTTGAGACATCAATCCAAAAAGCATAACTTCTTACCTAATAATTTTTTTTCTTCCTAAGTCTGCCCTTTATGTTATTGCAGTGACATTCCACTTCAGTGAATATGTGTGGGTTTTGTCACATTTCTGGAGGTTCTTCCTAACCTTCATGCTGGCAACAGCAGATCTGGTGTGTGATGGCTGAGGGTTGGGTTTTTTTGATTGAAAGGAAAATACAAAGTCTCTGGAGGAAAAAAACCAAATAATTGCAGTTTCTTATAGTACAGTTTTAAGCTTTCCTGACCATTTGGCCTTTGGTACTTTTACTAGTAAAAATAATTTATTTCTATGTGTGATAATGATATACATCTGAGCTTTTTTAGATGTGGCAACAAAATCAGTCTGTTTTAGCTATCACTGCTAAAAGCATTTACTGAAGTCTTAAGACATCTTACTTAAACATGATGATTGTAATTTTTGCAGGTTTCTGTAGCTGCTTCCAGTGCTGGAAGAGGATCTCCAGCTGTAACTCTAGTGCAGTTGCCTTCTGGTCAAACTGTTCATGTCCAGGGTGTCATTCAAGCCACACAGCCCTCAGTCATTCAGTCACCACACATGCAAGCTGTTCAGGTTAGCTTTTTTATTGTTACATTTTCATGAATATTTGGTACCTCATAATTCTTTTCCCAGCCCATCTTCAGTTTCTCTTCATTCCCACCAGTGCTGCAAGATTTACTCAGATGGCACAGGAAACAGCAGGGGGAAAGGTGGCAAACATCCAACCAGGAGCAGCTCTACAAGCATTGTGTAGCAATTCCTTAATGCTTCCTGTTTATCTTATAAGAAATTGTCTTGGAACTTGGGTCTGAACTTACGCAATAGCAAATTTGTGTCATAACACGGCCTTACTTCAGTGTATCCTGCAGTTTTAAATTTCTGTTAAATGCTATGAACATAGTGTTTCTAATGAAACTATGAACTCATAAATACTGAAGTATCTGCTATTTTATTTTTGGAAAGGGTCTGGGCCTAGTAGAAGTAAGCATATTGTATCAAGTGGTTCCTTGTTTGGAGCCCCTATCAGACCCTGTTAGAGCATCTCATATTGCTTTTTGTGGGTGTGGATACCAAAAATACAGGCAGCCTCGAAGCACACATTTATGTGGCAAATGTTCGTGTGTTTAAAGTTGCCAGAACTAGAAAACAGGGATTGGTGCAAAATTTGTAAGACTTTTCAGAGTTTTTAAAAAGTAGAAAAGGTAAGAAAGAATGAATTTGCAGTGTTTTGGAAAATTTTTGGCCTCCCATTGGTGTTTTTTTATTTGTAGCTGGGAAGGCTTCTGCTCTAGTTTTATTGAAATCTGTTTGAGAAATGTCAGCTGAATTGCTTTTTGCAGATACAATTGCTATTTCTGATAAGAAAGGTGATGCATCTCTCTCTGTTAGAAGGGAAGGGTTTTGCCTGTGACCATTGCAACACATTAAGCAAAAGCCATGTGTTGTCAGTCTTGAGAAGCCATCTTTAATGGTAGAGGCTTCTTAATAAATTTCCAGTATAATGACAAAAAGACATGTATAAATAGGATTTATGTTTGAGAAAAATAATAAAACCGTGATCAGATAATGAATATTTTAATGTTGAGCAGTTGGTGTAGATGATGGGACTTCAAGGTTTTGAAATCCTAGATCACTATGGAAAGAGGTGTGGTAGGTGCTAATATTTGATCAAATTTCAAGTCAGAACAGAGTATTCAAAGTAAATATTTTTTTTCATTGGAATTCTTTCTAACTGTAATTTTCCTGAGTAACCTTTGCTCAATAAGCACATTAGCAATTCCCAGTTTCTCTTCCTTTAGTCAGTGTAGTCAGGGCATACATGCAAAGATAGAGGACTTTTTTCAAAGCTCAGAAGGAGAAATTTCTCAGGGATCTCTTGCCAGCTGCTGCTGTGTTGTCTTAGGGGAGTGGAAGTCGACCATTTGTTGTATTGAGTGAACTCTGGCTCTCCACCCTTACCCAAAGGGGTAGAAACAGGAAAGTTTTGTCCCAATTAATACTGACTAGTTAGTTCCAGGATTTTGCTTTGGTTTCATCTGGATAAGAAAGAGTCTTGAAGATGCTGTAGAAGAATCCATTACAGAGGGTGTTCAGCCCTTCTGTGATCCTTTTCAGTACACTATCTTGCCACCTGCAATTTCCTCCAGATCATTTGGCTTTAACTTCTACTTCTCTGCCAGACAGTGGGGAACTTGGGAGATTATATCAGTTTAAAAAAGAAATCAAGGTATGCTGAAGGTTGGTGTTGAAGCTTGCATGACCTCTCCCTCAAACATCTGCCATTTTCAACTGAAAGTGCTCAGAAGTTTTTCTCATAATGCTGTTGTTTTTTAGATGAAAAAATATGTTTATAGCATTCCTTATTGTTTTGTTAAATGTTGTTTTATTTATAGGAAGATTTAAATTGTTGACTTACTGCTTGCTCCCCCCTGTAGTGTATCAGGTCTTGGAAAGACTTAACATGACTTTGAAGTTAAATTTGTTCAAATGCAGATGAAGCTGAAGTAGGTGAAGTTGAAATCTGAACAATGTCCAGGAAGAAATTACAATGTTTTGTTTGTTAACAGTATGCACATAGTTGTTTGTCATTAGAGTGATCTGAAGTGTTCATTTCTCTCTTTGTCATGATGAGAATTAAGGCTTTTGAAACTTCTTGTAGAAAATGTCCTCTTCCACACTGTGGTGGTTTGACACTGGCCAGAATTCCAGGCCCCCATTAAAGTTGTTCACTCACCCACCCCTGCTACAGCTGGGCAGAGGAGAGAAGATTTAACAAAGGGTTTCATGAATTGAGATAAGGACCAGGAGAGAACACTCCGATGGCAAAACAGGCTCAACTTAAAGATAGAAAGTGAATTTATAACTAAAAAATCAGAGCAGGATAATGAGAAGTAAAATAAGCCCTTGAAGACACCTTTTTTTCCTCCAGCCCCTCCCTCCTTCCCACTGACAGTGCAGGGAGACAAAATGTGGGAGTTTTGGTCATTTTGTCACCCAAGGTTTTCCTCTGCTGCACAGGGAGAGAAGTTCTTCCTCAGTGAGACTGTGGGGTCCCTCCCATGCGAGACAGTTCTCCATTCATTTCTCCAGCATGGCTCCAATCTCTTGAGCAGCAGGCCTCCCAAAACTGCTGCAGTGTGAGTCCCTCCCATGGCAAACCATGCTCCCAAAACTGCTGTGGCATGGGTCGCTCTTCCTCGGGGTGCAGCCCTCCGAGGACAGGCTGTTCCTTGGACCAAGACCTGTCTCTCCATGCGTTTCCCGCTGGACCATGGCCTCCTCCAGGCATCCACCCGCTCTGGCATGGGCACCTCCCTCATGGGCTGTGAGGGATCTCCCCTGGATCCCCATGGGCTGTGGGGCACAGCTGCTTCACCGTGGTCTTACCATGGCCTGCAGAGGAATCCTGGCTCCAGCATCTGGAGCACCTCCTCCTCCACTGACCTTGGTGTCTCCATGTTGTTTCCCTCACATGTTCTCACTTCCTCCTCTTTTCTGGCTGGAATTGAAACTGTGCCCCAACCTTTGTTTTGATTTCTTCCTAAATATGTTTAACACAGAGGCATTACCACCATCTCTAATTGGCCCGGGCTTGGCCAGTGGTACATCCATCTGCAGAGCCATCAGGGATTGGCTCTACTGGAAATCATGGAAGCTTCTAGCAGCTTCTCACAGAAGCCACCTCTGCATCCCCTCTGCTACCAAAAACTGTGCCGTGCAAAACCAATACACACATTAAAATGCTTAAATAATCTTGTAATTATCCTTACCTTCTTCCTAAAGTATGACTGCTCCCAACTTCTTCAGCCATCTTCACAAACTGGGGGGCCTGTTGGTATCTGTTAGGGTAATGTGACAATTTAAAGAAAGTTGAGGTCTTGTTTTTGAACTATTTGTCCTGGGACAAATAGATAATTTAAAAACCCCCAGGCCCCAGCAGAATGAAAATTCTGTTTTGAGTTAGGATGCCCAGGCTCTTTCTTGACTGTGCAATACGATCTTACTTCTGAAGGGTTATGCCAGAGGCTTGAAGATTGATCCATGAGGAGATTGCTGAAGGCACTTTGGGAGGGAAATGTCTTTCAGGATCTCTCTCTGCTGCTCAGCATTGGTCTCTTCTGCAAAGGGAGGAATACGAATTTCTTGAAGCACCTGGATCCCTGCAGTCACCTGGATTCTCTGATGTCTGGTTTGGAGCTGTGCATCTGTACACATTCAGAAGTAACTCTCACTGCCTAGGTGGCAGACATAGAGTTCTAATGATGTTTGTTGCATATTACCCAGCCAAATGAGGCTACATTAAATATTTTTACACAGAAGTGTAATGTAGTAAAATTAACAAGTGAGGAGATAATTTTGTTCTGCAATAACCCACAGTTCTTTCAAGGTGGTGTTCTAAAGGTTTGAGTTGAGCTGACCCAGGCCTATAAATTTCCAGAATGTTCCAGACAGTCATTTTCTACTGAGGTCAAGCAGATTTTGTTTCTAGTAGCAAACACTGAGGACTGGCAGATGCATTAATTCCAGAGCTCTTTCTTGCATTCCCTGAGCTTCCACTGCAGCTGATTCAAACACTTGAATTCTTCTTGTCTCTTACATCGTGTTTGTTGAGTGTTAGTTTAACAAAGTGCTTAATCTGAAACTGCAGTCTGGTCTGTCTTTGTGTGAAAAGATTTTCACACTATTTCAATTTGAAAATCTCACCACAGCAATAGTTCTGAGTAGTTAAAAGAATCCAAGAGAATAAAGTCTTTTCCTTGTTCAATAATGACTTTCAGTTCTGTGAAGTAAGATAGATGCTGGTCAAGAGTGTGATTCAGCCCTGGGCCTTAATATTGTCTGGAGTAATCTTAAAAGAAGAAGAGCATATGAAAATACTAAAGGTCTGAGAAAATGAGATACTGTGCATTTCTTAGGCACTTCCAAAACTCATACAACATTGCTAAACAATGCCTTTGCATTTATGAATGTGTTAGTAAGTCTAATAAATGTGTATATTTAAATAAAGTTAATTTTTAAATAGCTTTGGTGTGGTATGAAGAAACTTTTATATTGTGTACTATCATTTAAGGCACATTAGTGCAGTATTCTGTATTTTAGATGTTTGATTTTACTTTAAGACCTAATTAAATTGTATAATATTTTTATATTTAAAGAAATCTGTTTCCCGTACTTTTTCTAAGTGTCATTCACAAAAAAGTAACCTGGATTTTATTGACTTATTCCTTTTTCAAATGGAAGATGTTATCTGAGTGGCTGTGTCTGGATAGCTTCAGAATTTGCAATTTGCATTGGAAAAAGTAGTCCAAAAATCACATGATTAGTGATAAATAAGTCAACAAACTTCCCATATGTAAACATGGAAGGAGTTTTTAAAAAAAATTTACTCTGCTGCTCTTTTTTTTAATGAAGTTATGAATTTCAGGAACTTTGCTATTACAGGTAGCATCGATTGCAGATGAAGCTGCACAATCAGAAGTGATAATTGATTCTCAAAAACGTAGGGAAATACTTTCAAGAAGGCCTTCATACCGGTAAGGACTTTTAATTTTGGTTTTGCTGGTTTTAAAGGCAGCTTACTTATTACAGCAAAACTGTCTGATAAAAGTCAGTTCTTTGATTTTCTTAAGGGTATGGATCTTCAAGTACATAAAATTACTTACATTCTCTTTTTAGAAAAATTTTGAATGAGCTCTCCTCAGATGCACCTGCAGTAGCGAAGATTGACGAAGAAGAGAAGTCAGAAGATGAAGGAACGCCTTCTGGTATTTCTGCAGTGGCCATGCCAACCAGCCTGTATCATACTAACACAGGGCAATACCGTATGTGTGCAATGTACTACGTGGTGATGCAGAGCATAGCATAGCTTTGTTTCTAGCAGTTACCTAATGCACTTTGATTTTGATGAAGAAGAGATTCTGTATTTTTAAGTAATTATTATTAATTTTTTCTAACATGGGAATTATCGACTTTTAATCTTGTAGTATTTGTTGGCTGCTAAATGGAGTCGTTCTAGAGCTTCTATGCATTAAAATGTAGAGGTGAGGCTCAGCTGAAAGAAAAAATGCTGACACCTTCATGTGAATGTTTAATGATACAAATCATTGCAGTTTCAAATTCTTGTGATTTGTTATGTATTAGCGCTATTCACTATATGAAATGGCAAGTAGAATTTTTTGAAATGTAAGGTTGGAGTATGAAATTACTTGTTAAGTTCCAATTTTCTTTCTTAAAAGAATTATGTCTTTTTGTCACCAGTTTTTAAGTATCTACACTTTTACCACAGAGCTAACCTTAATCATGGTTTCCAACATTTGATACATCATCCAAATGCAAGTTAAAAGTTATGCTTACTGTTCTGTTCTATAGATTTGCTTTTAGATATTTTTATTCCTGTATTTATAGTAGAAGTGTTGCATAACTTGCACTCTGTGGCTTCTTTGGACATAATCAGTTATCAGTTTGGATAACTTTGTAATAACAGCTCTTCTTAAAATTCTGTATTTTATAAAGCTACGCTCGTACAGTTTGTAGGGGTTTTTCATGTCTTTTCATAAGTAGACACACTAAAGTGCAGGTGTTTTTCCTTTGATATAATGACAGGAAGATTGCATGAGAAATGTTGTGGAGTTTTCTTCCTGAAATGAGAAAACAGAGGAAGTCTAATAAAACACTGCAGTGGCATAGAAAAGAGGATAGAATGGCTCTAGTTATGTTTACTCATCCTTAGAATTCTTCAGTTATTTTTAATTTATGCAACTAAACTAATTATTAATGATGCAAAGACAGAATTTGCCTGTACTGCTTCTATCCTTTCAGCATAGAAAGTAATTTTGCTTGTGCCCCTAGGCTGCTTTTCTTACCCTTTCTGTAAGCTCTAGACATAAATAAATGTTTGCTGTGTGATGTCCAGCATCTGAAGTATTCTTTTCTGTGGAAAAGAACAGCATCATCCTAAATCACAACTATTCAGTACAGAGTCCAGCATGTATTAATGTATTCTTGTATTCTAAGAAAAATTAAATATTTTTCTTCAATTTTTGCATTGTATTATTTATTTTGCTTAGATTTAATTAAGAATATACATATTTGCCATGTCAAGGCTTAAAAATTAGTGTTATAATGTCTGTGAATTACCTAGTGAGCCTGTAAACCTCTAGGATTTTTAAGAAATTTTAGAGCTTAGGTTTAATCATGACTTCCCCTGGGAAGCCACAGTTGTACTTTGAGCCTAATATCTTGCAGGAGGTGATTCTTAGGGGAATATATTTTCATTTGAACACACCTATAAACAATGGTGATAGGGAAGTGTTTAAGTGAATTAAACACTTAAAGTGAACACTTAATTCAAAGGTTTTAGTTTCTTGTTCAATCAGACATTTATTTCTGAAAATTAGGCAACAGAGAGCATCACTGACAATGTAAGAACAGAATCCACGAAAATTTAATTAAATCTCATGTCTTAATTTAAACTAGGCTATAAGCCAAGCTTGGGAGATTTCTGTTCTTTGCTGCTTTTTCTTTGAGTAAGTTATAGTTGTAGCATAAAACATGTGCTGTATAATTAAGGTTCTCATCATAATGGGGCATTGCTTCAAAATGCAATGTCAGCCTTCATGGACTTTCTTGGTTTTGGCTCAAAAGCTTTGCTTTGAAAGCTTTTTCTTTTTGGAAATAGTTTTTCTTGCTGAATTTATGAGTTCATTAATTAGATTTTTTTTAAAGTTCACTTTTGTAAGTTAAAATACTTTTTGCCTTAGCAAATTCTGTGTATTTTAATTAGGCAGGTGGTAGCAAGGATGATAATTTCCTTTTAATAAAGAGGGTGTTAATTTGGAACTTGCTGAAGAGAGCTTGACTGTTGACCCCTAGTCTTTACATATATGAGGCACAGATCTGAAGCATCTCTGAGCCTTCCTGTTGGTTCCCTGTTGGTTCCCTGTTGGTTCAGGAACTGCTGTCAGCTAAAACCAGGAACCAGGTGGGAATGTAGCAAATCCAGTGTTGATTTTAGACTGCATGTGGTGCAGAGGGTCACTCCATGTACCTCCTTCATCTTTACACCTCCTGTCAGTAGCTCTGTGCTTCTGCCTGTCACTCCTGTGCCTGAGGACTCCTCTGTCCCAGGCCAGCATGGGCTGCCCAGGTTCTGCTGTGCAGGCACCCAGTAGTTTGTGCTTTAAGCTTGTGCAGTGTCCGTGGCAATGAAGAGCTGGCCTTGTGGTGTCACCATCTGTATTGTGCCCTGGTTTAAAAGAGGTGTTATGTTATTACATTTGCTGGTTCCTTTTTTTCTCTACTGTTCTCTCTATTCCTGCAAAGGAAGGGCAATTTGAATCATTTTGACTGTGTGTTTATGTCTGGATGTCTGGGATGACTGTTTTTGGAAGAACTTGATAAGTAAATATGTCTGGAAAACAAATGTATTTTTGTCTATTAGCAGCATTGATGGCTCTTCTTTACTTACTTTTCACCAGGCAAAATGGTGAATGGTTTCCCAATACCTTTTTCCTTGGAGCTTCTTGGCTTTGGCTTTGGAAGCAGACAGACTGACATGACCAGATAAAATGTCTTTGCCAGCTACCTCCATCAACACACTGTGATCTTTCTGCCAGGCAAATGGGTAGTTTTGCACAAGATGCTCTCTGGTATAGGAGCCTTGTATTCTTATCTGACTACACACCTACTCTGTTGGCTGTAGTTCTGTCATGTTGGTTGTTTAATACTGTAAAAAATTACTTCCCTCACCTGGGGTAGTGGTCTAATGTGTAAGAGTTGTTTGTTCAGTTGGAGTGTGTGAATCAGTCTCCCCATCCCCCTGCCTCCTTGTGCATATCATGATGATCTGCATGAAAAAATGCAGGGGGAATGAAAATTATTAAATCTTTACCTATCTGTTTGAATTACTTGCTCTCTTAGAACAGACTTTTAACAATTGAAGAATTAAGAAATCTTTGGGAAAGACTAATTTTAGTTCCATTTCCAGTTTTGGAAGGGAAAAAGATCTGGGTTTTTCTTCTGGATTAGAGCTGATGATCATACTCAGAGGGTGGTATTAGTACTGTCCTCACTCCTAGTTGGAAGAGAAGATGCTGCTTGCATCCATCCACCTGCATGGCATTCAGCTACAGGGACTGTCCAGGAAAGTCCTGTACTCATCATAAAAGGCTCAGTTTTCAGTAGAGCTCCAGCACAACAAAGTGTGTGCAGTGGTTGAGATCAGGACAGTGAATGGGGGACAGGCAGTGTGTGTTCTGGGAATGTGGCAGGAATCAGTCCTGTAAGGGAGGCAGCTACTGGAGTTAATTCACTTTTGTGTATAAAGTACTGGGTTGGGATCTGAATGAATAATTGCTGGACAGCTGTGACATAATTGTTTACCCAGGTTCACTGTGTAGCTGAGAGCTTTTTATCAGTCTGTGCTGATGTTTTACTGCTTAGAAAGCCAAACTGACCGGGGTTTATGTGGTAGGGTTCTGTGGTGGTGTAGATGTACCATTCCTGGTGCTAACTCTGAAAGGCAGAATTTGGCTCATTTTAACTTGTCTGGGAGGTAGAGTTGACAGAAATCTTGTTGCTCTTGTCCTGGACTTTGTGAAGAGTAGGGGATACAATGCTTTACTTTTGTTGCTTCTCTCTGTTTTGTCTTGCCTTAAAATGGGGCACTTTGTGCTTTGGAGGCCAGACTGAAACATCTTGCACTCTACCCCCTGCCACACTCTTCCCCTTCTCCTCAATGCCTTATGGGGCCTGTGTGCAGCACCCAACCTACTGTTGCCAAAATAGAACATGTGAAATCAGCAATCTCTAAAATTCACATAGGTACCTAACAAATCCTGTATTGAGATAAGCAGAGCTGAACCTTCAGGAATCGCATCAAATACTGTAATCTGACAATGAATTCAGAGAAATTGGCAAGCTTCAATCTTTTTTTATGTATGACTTTTATAGCATAGTTTAAATATCTTTTGTGGGAGAAAAGATTTTTTACTCTTTGAGGCAGAAAAGATTTTTTACTCATTGGGCATTGGGTTCTCAGCTGAAAGTTTCAGGATTGCTTTAATTAACACAGCAGATGTGGATTTGGCTGGTGAATCACTTGGTAGATAAGGAATTGGCTCAAAGAGCTCCAATCAATAGCCTTATGCTGAGGTGGAGGCCAGTGATGAGTGGTGTCCTTCAGAGATCTGGGACCAGTATTATTTTGTATCTTTGGATGGAAATGTGGAATCTTTGTGGAGCTGCCCCTTCAGAAAGTTTGCAGGTGACACCAGGCTGAATGATGCAGTTGAGACTCAAAGCTCAGTAGAGAGAAGGGATCCCATCCAAAGGGACTGTGACAGAGTAGAGAGGTGGACCCATGCAAACTTCATGATAAGGCCAATGCCAATCATCAATACACAGCATCCTGTGTATGGGTTGTGGCAATCCTGAATGTGGATATAGGCTGGGCAGTGAGTGGACTGAGGACCTGGATGTGCTGGTGGCTGAAACACTGGCTATGAGCTGGCAATGTGTGCTTGCAGCCTATAAAGCCAGCCAGATCTTAGGCTGCATGCAAGGCAGGGTGGGCAGCAGATCAAGGGATGCAATTCTGCCCCTCTGCTCTGGTGAGACCCCACCTGGATGCATCCAGCTCTGAGTTTCCAGCACGAGACAGACATGGACTTGCTTGAGCAGATCCAGAGTTAGATGATCTTGAAGGTCCTTTCCAACTCAAGCCATTCTGTGATTCAGTGATATTTCTGTGTTTAACAAAGGCAATGCTAATTTCAGAAGGAATATACAATTAATGATGTCTCTAGGGAATTGCATTTTTATAAATACTTGATTATGGCAAGAAGGCAGTATGATTTTTATTAATGGGGAAAGTATATTTGTTTTTTTCATATTGCTATTACATTGAGGGAAGAACCCTACTTTGTTCTGTTTCTTTTTTTACATGAGTATTGGGCTCTGTACAGCTGTGTACAACCTGGTTAAATGTTGTGCTAACACTAAGGAAAAGATTGTTAGTGTTAGACATCTTTATTTTCCTTTGTCTTGATGTCCTGGATTTTGTTTTCTGAGAGTCAATGAACAACTTTTTAAAGATTTTTTATTTTAAATAACTCCTATGTTAGTATTTAAAACATCACTTTTATATGGCTAAGAGCTATGATTTTTCCCCACATATTTAAACTATTTTAGTAGAGTTAATATTTCTGGAAACAGAGATAAAATGTGTTGAACACAGCTTTTTATCTGTTATATGTATGGCATATACTACACAACAGACTTTATATTTGTGGAAATCAGTATTAATATTATCTAAATTTTATCATACAGTTGGTCCTTAAGCAAGGAGAGGACCAGGAGTCCTGTAAGACAGTGTTTATTGCATGTTTTTTAGCATGTGTTATGTCTTTCTGTTCCCTAACTTCTCTTTTTTTTTTCCCCTGTTTAGTTACCATATCTCAAGGTGGTACAATTCAGACTGTGACAAATTCGGGAGCTCCTCAGCCAGGTGCTACCATTGTGCAATATGCAGCACAGTCATCTGATGGCACACAACAGTTTTTTGTTCCTGGAAGCCAAGTTGTTGTTCAAGGTATATTTTAATAGTTTACTTTTTTTTCATTTTTTCACATTAAACAATTTTTCTTAAAACTTTTCTTATTTTGTCTTGACATTATTGCACCATTAAGTAAAATACTCATAGCAAGATGAAAGAGTCTTAGGAAGGGATTCAGGTTTCTGCTTAGTAAGGCTGCTACTGTGTTTGGTTAAAAAGAGTGAAATAGCAGTATAACATCACTTTCTGCTTTGGATTGTCCTTTGCAGATTTTGAGACATGTTTAATTGGAATAAAGGTACTGCTACAGATGGAAGTGAGATGCTGAAGGTGCACATCGTTTAATATATGAAACGAATTTGTTTTTTTCAGCAGTTAATGTTAATAAAACACAAATTCTGAAGATTCTGGGATATGTTTAGGGCAGAATTTCCTTTCAACTTATGGCTCTTGCAGTTACTAGAAAGTAGATCCTTTAATGAAGCTAGTTTTCTCACAGAGGAATGCTTTGAAGGTCCTATAAAGTGCACACATGAAGTGATGACAACCTTTGAAAATGGGAGCTAGATTTCTCTGTGGAGACACTAAATTAATAGCTATGGAGAATATACAGATTTTAAAAATAATATTTCATTGACAGAGAGAAGTAGAGGGGAGGGCTGTATGAATACTTCCTTAAGCCAAAACAGCTATCTGAAATAAGCCATGAGAAGAGCTAGGAAGGATTTAGATATGTATTCATGAAGTGGATGAGGATCATCAAATAAATGTCGAAATTGTTTTCCCAAGACTTTTCCAGAAGCATTTCAAGTGCTTTAAGACTATAAGATGAAAATACCTTAGCCAGATGTTTTTATTGTTCAGAGAGTGTTGTTACAACTTCCCAAAATGTTATTATGAATACATACTTACCAAAGCCCTAAGTCCCAAATTTGGCTGTCTCCAAACCAATTTCCCACTCTAGTGCTGCATGTTTTTCTGAGTATGAGTCTAATATGTTTTCTGTGTGTGTGCCTACACATCCCTTAAATCAGAGGCCGCCTCCCATCTCTCCAGGTTCACTGTAGTTAGTATTTTATAGGTACTGCTTTGATTTTTCAGAGCTTTGGTGTCAGGGGCAGAAAGAATAACTCCTCAGCTGCTTCTTAAACCTCCCATTTGTGAAGAAGCACAGCATTTGAGGATTTTGTCTGGCAGCATTTCAGTCCTTAGGAATTCCATTTGACTGATTTTTCCTTTACAGACTCTCCATTACAGAGCTGTTCTCTGACAGGGCTGCTCAGTCTCAGCAATGGGCTCCACAAGATGGAATTGCCCTTTAAGTGTTTTGCCTGTGATGGAAACTTACAAAATGGATTCAGAGACAGTAACTGAATGCCTTCTACATCATATTTCTGGAAGCATCTAGATACTTTTAAGTAAATGGATTTGTTCTCTGTCCCTGCTCAGAGAAGTTTATTTCCTGGAATTCTCTGTTCCTTTGGTTCAAAGTCCAGTGCTTTAGTGAGCCTCATAGCTGTTAACATAGTCAAAAATGTGACATAACATACAGGGAAAAGTACAAAGCAAACAGTAAATGAGCATGAACTTGGAGATGATGAGAAGATAAAAGGCTTCAACTTACTCTACATGCTATTGATGTTAGAAAATCTTTAGGAAAGAACAAAACATCTACAGTAAAAAAAAAATGTATAAAAACATTGTGAACATGTTTACAGCAATACAATTGTATGAAGGCAGCAAACCTGAGTTAATTACAATGGAGTGGGACAATGGAATAAGTTGAATATACAAGTGTCTGAAATGTCCTTATTACAGCTCATCCTGCCTATGCCAGAAAGTCTGTTGGCACACAGGTTATGAACATTTGTCATTGATGTACACTTTGTAGTTGACTGTAGCTAATGTTGTGATAACATCGATTATAATAGAAAAATTATTCTGCTTAGTAATCCTACCACTTACATATGTATTTTTATAAACCATGTGTTTGGTATTTTCTGATAACCTGTGATGTGGAAAAATATTAGGATAAAAGTGCCAAATACATTGATCCAATTGAGTGACATTGTATTTGCTACAAGTTTACATTTGTAGGCAAAATAAGAGGCAGTTCTAGTGTGGGCAATTTCCTAACACATTAAGGGTTAAGGATTTTTTTGCTAGCTGAAGAAGGAAGTGTTTTGATGATTAGTGAAAGTGAGTGTAGAAAAGTTATATAAAAATCATTCTGTTGGGATCTATGTGTATTTTCGTTACATTGTTAGTGATATTTGATATCTGTGGCTTGAACTCCTTGTGCTTTAGTTCTGATCTTCTGTACATCTGATCCTGAAGTGCTCCTGTAATCACAGAACACTCCTATAAACACAGGATGTAAAACACAGAACATCAGTGCAAACATTGATGCTTCCAGTGCTGCCATCCAGCACAGTTTCACAGTTGATAAATTGCCACTCTGAATTTGTTTGGTACAAACACCTTAGAAGTTTGTTGTGCCCTACATACAAACCAGTGCTTGGACTCTTGGTCTGAAACTATTTCATTTGCATTGATGTAAATAAGGAGTAACTCTCTTAGAGCGGAGTTGCTGGTTTTTTTAATTTATATTTTAAAACAGAGTCAAACAATCTCTTGGATATATTTTGAAAAAGGAGGGAAGAGGGAAGAGGTAGCCTTTACGCAGAGTCACTGTTCTGCTTGGTACAGCATCTGAAACCACTGGCTTTAGGCTGACTTACTTCGTTGGAGTGTTCCTTAATAATTTCTGAAGCTTTTAACTGAAATTAAATGAGTGGGTTGTGGGTTTTCCTGCAAAGCAAGGAGCTCTAGCCTTTCATTTACCTATTTGTTACAGCTTATTAAGCTTTCCTGTCTTGCATGTCTGTCCAACAGAGTTCTCTGCCTTTTATTGGAACTGTTCCAATGAAAACAACTGCATGTCTGTTTTAAATTTCCTTATTTTCTATCCAATCATGACTTTATCATTTGAATTCATTCATGAATGCTAGAGCCACGTTTTCATTTCTGTCAGTCAGTGCTGTGAATTTTCAGGTCTTTCTTAACAGCCTGCTTTGTGGTGAGTGCTTTCTGTAGCTTTATGAATAATTCAGGGAAAAAGAACAAAGCTAGGATTTATAGCAGTATGGAAGAGGAAAAAAAAATCCAGGTTTACTGGAAAAGGAATTCTTTGGGCTGCAGTTTCAGTGAGCTGTTCCAGTGATGGAGCATGTTAATGACAGCAGTAAGCAAGTGAGGTCATTGTGATGTCAGTGCTCTTGCTTGTAATCCTGCACATGCTTGGTAGTTTGGAACAGTTCATGCTGAGCTCTGGTAGAGGAGCAGCAGAATCGTGTGTGCAGAAGTTGATCATGGCTGTAACAGGAGATGAAACAGGTAAAAATTTTGTTAGCCTTTGATATGGTATTTTTGGATGTCTGTGCAGTGTTTAGTTAATATTTGTGGCATTTTCTTTTGAACCTGTTGCTGTAATTCTTTCTTCTCTCTAAAGTCATGCAAATAGCTTCTAATTCTCTCTACTTAGTGTAGGATTCCAGGGCAATTTTAACAGTTTTGTTTGGGGGGGAAAAACCTAAAAATCACTGTTAGTGTATGAGTTTTTGCACACATTGATTCAGTAACTGTTCTTTATTATTTGATGCAGGATTTTGCTGAAAACAATCCACCGCTCTACTTTTGCATTTTTCTTTATTGTGGTGATAGTCATATATGTTGCTGTGTTTATAATTGCTTTTTCTTTTGTAAAAATGACAACTGCCTTTTTTATTGAGCAATAGGCGCTACAAATTTGATAGCCATGGGCTTCAACCTAGCGTGTAAATCAACCCTGTGCTCCGAGTATTAGAACACACTGAATGGAAACAGATTGGAGGGCAATAATTGAAGTATTGTAGCGCCTGCTTGTTTTCTCCTCCACTGTTAAAATGGTCTGTTCCTCAGCTAATTGAGTTCAAAAGGCTGACGTCATTAGATTTCCTGGAATCGTGTTGCAGTAGGGAACTGGAAAAGTTAAACTCCAAACAAGATACACATTGACGTCAGCTCCAAGTCATGCTGCGATTTAGTCAGTTCCTTTCTGCCTCTCAATTGCCTCCGGCAGCTCGGTGCCATTAACTGCTTCCCTGCCGGCCCCTACGTGCTGCTGCTCGCTGCTGCCGCGCTTGTTTCATTAATCCAGAGATAAATATCTGCTCAGGGTCCGTGTATTTAATGCTCAAAGGGATAATGATTCATGCCTTGTGTAGCCAGTTTAGTGGTGAAGTTAAAAACCCCTTGATAATCAAGTCCCACCATTATGACTCACAGAGGGGGAGAATAGGCATCCAAATGCATCGGGCGTTTTTTCTCTTGGATAGTCACTGAAAGAACTGAGTGCAGGGATGCTCTCTAGTGTTCAGCAAGTTACTTTTTCCAAGAGGTGATTGCTTTTTTATTTTATTTTTTTTTAATGCATGTTTGGTTTTTTTCACTAGTTGTCTATTGGCTTTCTTAATTTTCATTTTGCAAGTCTCAACTAAAAGCTTCAGGTTTTCATTGACTTTTTACTCCCCTTGCATTTTAAGGGGAAAAAAAAAAAGAAAAAAAAATTACCCGGGGCAGTGTGATAGGGAAATGCACCAACTCCAGATTTGTTGCTTTGTTAACACTCTCAGTTCTGTTTCTGGTACCTTAGGAATTACATTAAACCTTGGTGAAGTGTCATTAGAAATGGCCAAAGAAGTTTGACAGTCTGGATGAAGTGTGTAGGACATTTGTTTCAAATGCTGAAATGGAAGGTATTCTTCACTGTAATATAGATGCATAATTAGGCTTAAAATAACTTTGAAAAAAATTAAATTTATCCCACTGTGTTTAGAACCTGTTTCATCTTTCCAAAGGTCATTTTCTGGGGAACTCAGTTACATTGTAATTTCTTGAGCTAATGCACAAAACATTTTTCAATCTTCAAAATATATTTTTGCAATGATATATCGGAAAATATATATTATTGCACAGCTAAAAGATACTTGGTCAATGCTATGCTATGCTTTCTGTTTCTAAACAGTGGTGTCTAGATTGGCAAGGTCAGTACCACCAGAATAGTTGTTTATCTGTGTTCCTGTGCTGGCAGGTTTCTAAGGGAGACAACTGTCAGGCAGAGACTGCCACTACTGGGACCTGCTCAGACTAGAACATTTACCAGCGGTGTTTGCTGATCCCAGCTGAGATAGGGACTTGCTTTTGTTAAGTCTTGCTGGAGGTACATGATCACACTGAGTCCTCTGCACAAAAGCTGCAGTAAGTCTGTTTGCTGCCATCTGAGCTTAAGTCAAACACAGACAACAAATTAGTTGGTCTTGCCAGGCTGAGGTGATTGGGTTGTGGAGCTTCCCCACCATGACTTCATCTACAGAATGGTTTGCTTGGATTTCTAATTCATTGTAGCTAAGGCAAATTAAGGTAACATCTCTTTAATACCTAGTGATGAGAGAGGAAAAGATAGTTCTTACCATAGAGTCTGTAAGATGTATGTAATGTGGCCAGCATAAAGGTGAGCCTGAGGAGTTGCTAAAATTCCACTTTTATAGTTAGTGAGCTGAGGTACCATTCCATTGACGTGACTGGGACTGCTAAGAAATGTGGAGGATTTAAAGGGTTAAGCAATTCCCCTGTAGATGTACAAGATGACCAAGCCCTGTGCTCAGGGCAGCTGCCTGTCATTGCTCACAGGGCTGTTCTGAGCTGATTTCCCCCTCCCTCTCTCCCTCCCACATCCCCGGGGGATTATCCAGGTCAGTTCACTGGTCCAGTTCATCTTGTAATTCCACAAACACTTTTACCCACAGGACTGAGGAGGGGGGGAGGTGCACGGGGTTTAAGCTGATAATGATTTCAGGACATGGTTGTGGAATTGTAGTCTAAGCACAACTTGATTCCATTTTTTTTGTTTGTTTTGAACTAGTGAAGCTCTTACATTAATATAGTAGGAATAATAGTATATTTTTATTAGATTTGTTTTTTCCCCTTATAGTTAACTGCTCAATCTGTCAGCCTCCCCAAGATGTTTTTGTCTACCTTTTATTTTTCCAAGTTGACCTGGTGTCAGCTGGGATAGAGTTAATTTTCTTCCTGTTAGCTGGTACAGTGCTGTTTTTTGGTTTTAGGATGAGAGAGGTGTTGATAGCTCACTCATGGTTTGGTTGTTGCTCAGCAGTAGTTGCACTAAGTCAGGGACTTTCCAGCCTCTCACAGTCTGTCAGTGAGTGGGCTGGGAGTGCACTGAGAGCTGTGGGGGATCACATCCAGAACAGCTGACCCCAGATAGCCAGAGGGATATTCCATACCTAAGGCATCATGCTGAGCATATAAACTGGAGGGAAAGCTGGCCTAGAGCCTGCTGCCCAGCAGCAGGCTGGCCATCAGTTGGTGAGTGGTAAACAATTGCTTCTAATTTGCATTAATTATTTTTCTTGGGTTTATTTCTCTTTCTTTTTGTTATTTTCCTTTTCATTACATTTATTATTTTATTTCCATCAAACTGTTCCCATCTCAACCTATGAGTTTGCTCTACCTCATCCAGCTGGGGAGCTGTGTGGGTGGAGTGAACAAGTGCCTGACTGTGTGGTGCTTAGTTGCAGGCTGGGGTTAAACTGTGAGACATGTTTTTCCATTATTTGAATAATGCTTTGGAGAATTAAAGTATAAAATAAGTGTAACAATAGCCTCTGAAACATCAATTATCTACAGTTGCTTTAATGACACAATTTGAATTTTTGTTCTATCATATGTAAATGTAAAATATTAATGGAAGGAAATAGGTAAATACTTGCTCAGAATGTAAAGAGGAGTATGTTTTTTGTTTGGTTTTGTTTTCTGTCAGACAAGACACAAGTACTTAGGACTTCCCCAGTGTTTTTAAGTTGAGGTACATCATGTAGGGACAAGTACATCTGAAACAAAGAAATGACGTGAGTCTGTGAGAAAGGTGTTGGTTTCCAGTCATATCAGATCAGCATTTGGCTTGGGGAGGGCACAAAACTGCTAAGCTCAGGAGCTGAATCTGAACTTTTGCCCTCTGATTTACTGTGCAGCTACACTCCTTCCTGTGCAACTGCCACTGCCTCCTGTTGCTGCTAATGCTGCAGCATCCCATGTGTGGTCCTCTTGCCCAGGGAACAAATGCCTGAACATCCTGAGCACTTGTCTGTTCCTTTTCATTGTAGCAACAGCAGCTCTCACTCGTTTCCCAAGGGTTGCCAAACTGCTGTTGTAAGAGGAGGAGAGGCTGTAAAGCTGGTACTGTTGCTATCACAAGGAAGGAGGAGAAAGTTGTCTTCTGAAGCAAATTGAATCCTGTACAGGGAGAACAGGGTAGCATATAAACCTCAGTTTATATGCAGGTCCTTCTTTTTGTGGGATTGTGCAAACAGGAAGTGTCACTGCCTGAACTGTTTCTCAAACTGCTTTCCCCATGTTGTATGAAGAGAGCCATGTGGAAGCTTTCAGTCCAGCTGGCTGCTGGGGCCACATGCTAGAGCAATTCAGACACTTGACAGTATGGAAATAAATGCTATTAAGATAAAAAAATATAGTTGTGTCATTACAGACGTGTGAAATAATTTATGTATCTGGGATGCTGGATAAATCATTATCAGAAATCTGTTATTTTCAGATACACTTCTTTTTTTGCCATATGTTTTAAAATATGTTTCTTTTATGCAGCTGCCACTGGAGACATGCCAGCTTACCAGATCCGAACTCCCACAACCACCTTACCTCAGGGAGTGGTGATGGCAGCCTCGCCAGGGACGCTGCACAGCCCTCAGCAAATGGCAGAAGAGGCCACACGCAAGAGAGAGCTGAGACTTTTGAAAAATAGGTAAGACTATGCCATAATTCATGGTCAGTCTTGTAAACTACCTCCCCCCCTCCCCCAAACATTAGAACAAAGTTTTCTTCTTAAGGTCATGAGCACTGCCTGTAATTGATGAAGGGAAGGCAGGAAATTCTTTTCAGTCATCCCATGTCCTTCTAGCACAGAGTATTGGTTGTTAACACTGGAACATTTGACCTTAAAGCCATGGATTTTTAGTTTGAAAATATTAGGTGATTCAGAAATCAATATCAGATAATTTTTGTGATGATCCAGAGTTACACTTTTTGTTGCATTTTACTTCCTGTCCTCTCCCACTACTGACAGTAAAATGACCAGTAGGGCCTCTTTCATTTTGAAACATCCCCACAAAGAATTGTTTAGGAAAATAGCTGAGGATCTCATTAGCAGCTGTCCATTAATGATGCTGTGAAGAGGACTTATTCAAAGATGGAATGATAATTATAGACTTTGCCAAATACTTGGCTGCTGGGATGGGATACTTTGCAGTGTCCCTGTCATTTTGTGAGGCCCATTGTGTGAAGTTGCTGTATATTTTTTAATTAGTTGTCATGGACTTGACTGAGTGTTGTAAATGTCAGTCTTTCTCTGTGCAGTCTTCTTGCTATTCCTTGGGGAGTCTGTCTTTTTAAAATGTGTAGCCACCTCTGTCATTGGCAGATTAATAGTAGAAATAGTCTGCTCTGCAGATTTCTAATACACTGCTTAGCCACTTGTCTTATAATTGAATTAATGGTATTGCTTTGCTCTCATGCCTGTCCTTTATTTTAAATTACTTACAAGGATCACTGCATTGTTGTGCCTCCTTTATGTTTCTTCTTCCTTCAGTTTTAAAACTAATGCCTATGCTATAGCTCATAACTTGCTGGAATGTTAGCCTCTCACAATTTGGTAGTTTGTCATGTTCCAAGGTAGTAAAGGAGGACTCCCAGTACTTCTAATATTTCTTCTGGATTTGAATGCTTGTTTAGTCACATGCTTCTGAACACACTAGCCAAAGTGTTTAGCTCAAATATTAGAGACTTTTGAGCAGAACTACAAAATGGCTTCAGGCTATCATTTGCCAGCAATAAAAACTACAGACTCGTGTGGCTGAAATGTGCTCAGGCAGCCAGTTCTGAAATGCTAATAAATTGTATTTGTTTGGATTAAATTGTATTGTATATTGTTACAACATGCAGTAAGTTTTTATCTTCATGTAAGCTTGGCATCTAGTTTTTATCTGAAGAGAGTAGAGTTATGTTTGTGTTTTTCTGAAAGTATATTCTCTGGGTTTGGTTTTAAGATTTTGATGGCAGAAGACAATGCTCCCGATAAACAGACAAAGTAGAATGTGACTGGAAGAAGAAATGCTGCTTTCCATCCTAATGTTTAGTGCAAGTCAAGTCAATACATCATCAATTACTCCCTGTTTTTCTTGATTCTTCTGTGTATTGGTTCCATCTTTGTATTTGGTGATGCTGGATGCATTTCAAGTTCTAGATATTTTGGATTATATTTTAACTGTGTTACTGCTTTTGGCTGTTATCCGATGTTCTGTTTGTGCAATCCAGCAGTTGGTGGTGGTGGTTGTTGTTATTGTGGAGCCACTGGGATTGCAGGTAATTGCATTTATCCAGTCTTTGCCATATTGTGGCTGTTCCTGTAGTCATTTGCCTTGTATTGGTTCCAGGGAAGCTGCCAGAGAATGTCGCAGAAAGAAGAAAGAATATGTCAAATGTCTTGAAAATCGTGTGGCTGTGCTTGAAAACCAAAACAAGACTCTCATTGAGGAACTCAAGGCCCTCAAAGATCTTTATTGTCATAAAGCAGAATAACTTTCTTTCATTTGGACCTCCTTTATTATGAACTTTAATCAAGGCATGAGAGGAAGCAATTCTACAGATTGCCATATGAACTTGAGAAAGAGACACTTGAGGCCCTTGTGGAACCCAATTTTGCTTAGTGTTTTCAGACTGATTTGGGAGATATTCCAAAATTTGGAATTCTGTCATAGTCTCCATACTCTGCTGAGCTTTCTAATGGCATGCAAATGGCTTTTTTGTTTGCACTTTTTACTTCTGCTTTTTGCAGGGAAGCTGCTAAAGAATGTCGACGTCGGAAGAAAGAATACATAAAATGTCTGGAGAGTCGTGTTGCAGTGCTAGAAGTTCAGAACAAGAAACTTATACAGGAGCTTGAAACCCTAAAAGACATTTGCTCTTCCAAAACAGATTAGTAAAAATATTTATTATACTGTGAACTAAGATATGTCCAGTTGCTTTGTAAGACAGTACATAGCCAACATGACTTACGGCTTTCTCTTTGTGTCATTTATAATATATTCCAACTCCTAACATTCCTGAATGCTTTCCTGCTTTTTGTCAATTCATAGCTCTAATTTCAGGTTTTTCTTGCACCATCCTTCTGTCTCCCAAGGAGCCAAATGTTAAAAAATATAACAAAGTAAAAAAGTGCATAATTTCTAAGAGCTGTTTCTTTGCCATGTATTTACAAATTACTTTTACATGTTACTGAGTGTCCTGCACATTAAAAATATTTTGCAATTGTTTTAGATGAATCATAAAGATAATGCATCCAGTAATACAAGAAAATCAAACAACCCAAGGTATCTCAGGAAAGAGTTTATAAAAGAATGTTATGATTATATGTATGTACTAGCATACTAGTCTACAGATGATTTTATGGCATATTTTTATATTAGTTGCTTTGTGGAAAAAAGTATTGTATTGCTGTCACTGAGTGCCATGGTTAAAGATAGTTTTTAATAGAACCATGTTGTTTAACCTGTGTAGTGTCTGATTTCCTTTAAAAACCTGGTTGAGATGCTTTAAAATCCATGAGTATCTGAAAGAAGACAAAGGGAAAAAAGCACACCTAAGCTCATGACATGATGCTAAATATATTGTAAATACCTGTAAGATGCTCTCTTATATGGCTGCTATTTACTTAAATTTTCTGTATTCTGCAGAATATTTGATTCACTGGAGGTCTGTATATCAAAATTTAAATGTTCATCCTGAATACTTCACATTCTAGGTCCTGTACACCTGTAGATAGTTGCCTGTAGTGAAGATTGATGGTGCAGTTCTTTTCACAATTTCAGCAAACTACTGAATGGTGGTCAAGGTGTCCTAAGGAAGGGAGCTTTCCAATAAGTAACTATTTGCTGATTCACTGAGTTCTGGAGTAGCCTACAGATGAGAGCTGAAGATTTTTAAAATAAACCCATGTTTAAACCAGATTACAGCTCTCGTAAATGCAGTATGTGCCAACTTTCCATTGTGCTTTGAAAAAACTAGTGTACATGCAGAGTTGCTTCTGGGTACTTTTTAAATTCAGGAGTGATCTAATTGCTTGGCCAGTACAGTCTATGAGCAGAGTATTTGGGAACTTTGCTGGAACTAATGGCCTTACTGATGTGGTAGGAGGAGAGGCCTGTTTCCTACTTAATTGGCTTTACTGAGGGTGTGTGTGTGTGTGAGAGTGTGTGAGTGTATGGAAGGGGAGGAGGGATGGAATCATACTGAAGTCATTGAGACTTCCTAATTTAATTTAAACTCAATTTGCATTTAACCCTCTTCGCTCTGACCCTGTTGGGGTGGGTTGGTTTATGTATATGATTTTTTCTTCTTTCCTAAATTACTTGAAATACGCAGGATAATTTTCTTGACTATTTTGAAAATCCCACTAGGTACCTAAGTGGCACCATTTGTAAGAAGAGGTATTCTCTCTCACTTCCTGCAGCCACATCAGTTGATTTAAGGAGGTAACAAGATACCTCTGACCTCTAAGGCTCTGATGCAGGTTTGGAACAAAAGTAAAGTAAACTTTGAAATGTCTTCTTTACTGTGAAAATACATCTGAAGTGCTAAGGTCAGCAGAAGTCAAAGGTTCTGTTCAGGTTGGACAGGATGAATGCAATCTGCAGGTCCATTTTGCAGCCTCTGTAGTGCAACAAGGGAGTTTGTTGTGGCTCTGTCATTAGTCTGTTTTCTGTTACAGGTAGGCATTGCTCCTGACTCACAAGGGATTTGGAAACTTAAATCGAGAAAAACTTGTGTGGGGGGGGTAGATATGTATGCAGTAAAAAGTCCCCTTTATCGTCACAATAGTGGCTGGTACTAACTACAGTTAGAAATTTGATAGGAGGAATCCTTGTCTATTCCACATCTGTGTAGTTGATACTCATGTCTTTACTAGTAGAATCATAGAATGGTTTGGGTTGGAAGGAACCTTAAAGATCATATAGTTCTAAACCCCCATGCTATGGGCAGGAATGCCACTCACTGCTAAATCATGTTGTTTAGAGCTCCATCCAGCCTGGCCTTGAACACGGCCACAGATGGGGCAACCTCATCTTTACTGAGACTCGTATTGAGTGCTAATCTCTGAGTAAAGAATTCATTCCTAATATCTAATGTGAATCTCTCCTCTTTTCTTTATAACCACTGCCCCTTGTCCTGTCGTTGTCTACCTGTGTAAAAAATTCTCTTGCTCTCTCCTGTAAGCCTCCTGTAAGTACTGAAAGGCTCAGTGAAGTCTCTCTGGAGCTTTCTTTTCTCCAGGATGAAATAGCCCAGCCCTCTCAGGCAGTTTTCATTGGAGAGGTGCTCCTACCCTGTGATTGTGTTTGTGGTGCTCCCTGAAGCCTGCTCTAAAAGGTCCATGGCTTTCCTGTGCTGGGGCCCCCAGAGCTGGAGCAGAGTGAAGGGGCAGAATCCTCTCCCTCACCTGCTGCCCACCCTGCTTTGGGTGCAGCCAGGATGGGCTCAGCTTTGGGGGCAGCAGGCACACTGGAGCGCACTGATGGATGTGGTGCAGGAAAAAGGCCTTTCCAATATAATAGTATTCTTTATATAGAAACATCAAGTGAATCTGAGTTGGTTTATTAAAAGAGAATTTGAGTACTGCCCAAGTTTTGATTTGGCAGAGCCAAGAGTTTTGTTTTTTCATTATAAGGAAAAAAGGCCAAACAAATGGTGGTTTTTTCCTTCCTGTTAGAAAACTGCATTTCTATGGTATGAAACTCCTTTCTTGCTGATGCCACACAACTGCCAATTCTTTTAAGAGAGACAGCTAGAGAATTGGCCTTTGAGGGAAAGTGTGTGTACACAGACCTGCATGGATTTTAATTTTTTTTTTCAAAATAGATTTTCATGTAGCTCAGGTAAAATAGTCTCTTGTAAAATGTCTTCAGCTTCCTAGACTTGTGGGTGATGAGGAATGCAGTAGTCAGCTTCCTCTCAAGGTACAGCTTTGAGTCATAGCTGTTTCCCTCTTTAAGCAGATGTGCAAAGACAAATCTCTATAGACTATCCAGACAGATCTCTCTTGACTCTCTAAAACAGCCTCAGCTGTTTTGGCCAGTGAAGAAAGGGATTAAAATAAATATATTGTGTGAGTAGGTGTGGATTTAGTTTCTTTGGGAGGACTTTTTGATTGTTATTCCCACAGATTTTGCTGTTTGCAAGAATAATTGCAGATTTTTTTTTTTTTTTTTGGCTGCACTGATAGAGTCCTGAGGAGTGCAAGTTGTCTCCTGCTTGGTTTTCCTTCTGTTCTTGTCACACGTAATTGCTGATCTGTACTGGTACCCTGCAGACATCAGCTAAATTCAGTCTGATCTTTTTCTGAATTAAATATCACTTCAAAGAAAACTAAGGGGTCTGCTCAGCTTCTGGTTTGGATTGACTCATTTTGCCCACAGTTTTTTCCTGTTTCATCCCTTGGTATTTAGTGTGTGGGTGTGTACAAGGCAAGACTGTATCGAGTGCTGAGCTGTTAAGCAGCTGACAGAAGTAACTGCCTTTTGCTTGTCAGCCTTCCTGGAGAAAATATTGTCATGTGGGGAGGGGGTCTAGTTTTTTTGGAGATTTTTGTTTAAGGCACTATGAGGCCCTTGTGGATGAGAATAACAGTGATCTCATTATTTCAGCAAAAGTGTTCTAGTATTTGCTTGATTTAATAACTGAGGAAAATAATTTAGGTAAATTCTAGAGCAATTTGATAGTCATGCCAACTGGAAATGGGGGGTAGCAAAAACCAATTTATTCTTCTTTGTCTAATGATTTTTAGTCTCTTTTTTCAGGTTTTTATTTTTTCTTAATTCTGAGTTAGAACTTCCTTCTTGCAACAGGCTTGTTCAGTATGAAGCAAAAGCTGTGTATATGCACTGAGTCTGAGACTGAGTAGGGTGTGAGTTGAGTGCTGCATGTAGACTAAGGAAAAAAACCTTCATTGCATTCTGTGTGACTTGAATGGAAAAAACAGTGAAGGAAGTGTCTTTGTTATGGTAACTGCTGAGCTTTTTCCTCTCTTTTAATAGCCTTTGTCAGTGAAATCAGGTGTGATTAATGCATCTTGTGAATGGAATTATGGCTATAAAAATGTCACAGTTCAGAAATCTGGTTATCTAGCCAAGTCATTGTTTTTGTTTTGCGGCTTCAAAAATACGTTTTCCAAACAACCTTGAATGAGGCTGTTAATATTCTCACTTTCATGATTCTCCCCTCCAGCCCTTCCCAATGTCGTTCTACTCACACCAGGTAAAAGCTGCTGCAGAGCTGTTTAACAAGCTCAGTCTGGACCAAGGAGGTTGTTTTTTCTAAAATAGTTCTCTTAAGGATTTGTTTTCCCCTAAGCAAAGTATTTATCACATTTCTAGCTTCCATTAATTCTTACAGAACTGCAAACACATTCTTAAGTTTAATGCATACTGAGGTGTTTTGCTTGATGAAGTTGATTCTGAAGAACTAGATTCTCCAAGATCCTGGTTGTGTGAACTAAAAGCTTTCTGAAGTTTGTCAGCTGGCAAACAAACAAAAAAATGCTGAAATCCTTGACACCCCTGCATTTTTACCAGTGAAGTTGTCAGTTACTTCAAAGATCCAGACATGGGCCTGGAGCTGCAGCTTTCATGACAAGTGAGTGGCCCAAATCTGTTGAGATCTTCAAAGCAGACATTGTTCTTTTTCTCTCATTTGAGACCTGATCTAATTAGCTTTTCTGAAGTGTATCTATTGGAAATGGTCCTTAATGAAGTACAGCCACAGAAAACCAGGAAAAGTTAGGATAGATTGAACACAGAGTTTGAAAACAGTGCTGTTACAGGGTATAACACAAGCAGGTATGGTAAGTTTGGATGTGAGACTGTTTATTTTTTAATTTCTGTATTTTTTGTGCAAAAGCCCCATTGGTCTCTGTAGGGATCAGAACTCTGCAGTATTGAACACAGAATGAAAAGTGTCAATATTTCAAAATCTGTTCTACTTTCTTTTGTTGTATCTTGTGTAAATTTTTACCTTCAGCTCCTTCCCTCACATTATCAGACCTATTCCATACATTTTTTGTTCTTTTTCATTGATGATTTTCATTTTCCTGAAATACTAATATTTTTTCCTGTGAAGTGACAGTTGCTCATGTTTGTATCGTATTTCTTCTAGTATGTTTTGAACCTGGTGGTCTACAGCAATTAAAATTCATAGATGTGTCAAGGATCTCTCAAGAGTTCATGAAAAGAGGTAGTTAGCAATGAAGGAATGGACTTAGTACAGGAGAAGTTGGAATGTAAGTTTTTTTAGATTCAAGAAAACTTTCTAGGAATTCTCTCTATTAGATTCCAGAGGATTCATTCACTGATTTTCCACAAACCATAGAAAGTGAGGTTTTGTTGCTGACAACTATTTGTATTTTTTTGGAGGATATTTGAATGTCTGTAGATTATAATATATTTGTTTAAAAGGATAATTTGTTTATAGACAAAAATGTATTTTATTAAAAAGCT